GATTTATTTAATAACCAAGGTTTTATTAATATTAATAGTCTTTTTAACTATTTAGCTAAAAAACTTAAAAATCTAGCGCCTAAAAAATATAAATTAAATACCTAATTTTTAAACCTTGCCTAAAAAAAAATAAACATTTATTTTCACCACCTACGCAAGTATTAAGGGGCGCTAAACTATAGCTAGCTATAAAATACTTATTATATTATTATTTAGTAACTTATATGCTAGGACCTATTTTATTAAGCCTAGTATATTATATTAAGGCCTAATTATAAGTACTAACTAATCTTATATTTATACTATATAAAGTACGCCTAGTAAAAAAACCATACCTACTTTTAATATATAAATATTAATATTAACCAAGCGCTTTAAAATAAACAAGAAGTAAATATTATTTAAAAATTATTATTACTAAATATAAAAAATAATAATAATTATATTAAGGTTTTACCAGGCATGTATTAAAAAAATAAAGTAAAAATATAGCTAGCACGGGTAAAGGCGCGAGATAATACTAATAACCTTTTTAATTTAATTAACTATATAAAAAACAAAAAGTAGACTAAAAATAATATTAAATACTTTTATATAAACTAAAAAAAGAACCCTTGCTTATAGCTTATTATATAAATTATATACTTACTAGTATTATATAAATTTACTAAACTAGCTATAAAAATAAGGTGTATAATATTACCCTAGTATATTACTATGTTAGCTAACTATTAAACACTTAAAATAATAAAAAAAGGTATTTAAAAAAAATTAGCTACTATATATTATAATCTTATGCCTGGCCCTACCTTTTTATTTAGTTTTTTAAATTATTACTTAAAGATTTTATAGTTATTTACCTTAATTATCTAACTCTAGGGGCTAGGAGCTATTAGTAATACCTTAATAAAATATTATAAATAGGATTTAGCTAAGGTAATTAATAAAATAAAGCTAGTATTTAGCTTAAATATATTTATTAAGCGTAACTTTTTTAAGTCCTAAAAAAAAAAAGCTATTTTTATTACTATAAATATATACATGCGGTTTTAAAAGCTAAAACAAGAATATTTTAATAACTTTAGCTATAATTATTATAAAATAATATTACTTCCTACCCTTATTCCCGCCCACATGGCCACGGTTATTAAAAAAGTGCTAAATAAAGCTAAGCTGCCTATTAATTACTATTAATAGTTTTAGCCCCGGTAAAACTAATAAGCTCTAAAATATGTTTACTAAACTACTTAATTATTGCCTGTACACAACACTAATAAAAAAAAAAAAGAATAAAAAAGGTAAAAAAAAGGCTTAGTAAAGGCTAGCTAAGCAAAGCATAGTTAATTATTATACTTTAAAATACTGCCTTAAAAAAAATAAAAAACATAAGTAGGGAAAAGTCTTGCCTACCAGTAAGTTTTAGCCCCCCCTTAAAAAAATATAGTAGGGTTACACCCTAATATTAATTTTTATAATACTTATAATCTTGCTACTAGCCTCCTATACCTAGTTTATTATTTATTTTAATATATATATATTTTTTTTTTATTATTATTCCTACCTATACTACATACCGTCCAGTCCTAGGTTTCTGCCACTATTTAGCTCCTTCAGCTCCCATGCTCTAGTACTGCCCCTCCACACTAGTTTTTACCCTAATATATAATAGCGTACTAATAATATATTAAAATATATATAAGTTACCTCCGGGATATAATTTTTAACTAGTATAATTTAAACTTAAGGAAAGTTTTTTTATTTTTTAATTATTATTAAACTTTGCTAATAGTTTTGTAATTAACTTTTTAAAAATTTATAAAAATATTTAAAATAAGAATTTAATCCCTATACCTAGCTAAATATTAAAAGCTAATAAATATAAAGCAAGTGTATTATTTTAATATTACTATTATTAAATAATAAAATAATATTATATTAACGCGGGAAGCTATTTACTAAAAACAGGTATATTAAAAATAATACTTTTAAGTAAATTAGGGATAATTAAGAATAATTAAAAAATAAGAATAGGTATATTAAATATACTAGGAATATTTAATTTATAGGTATACTAGGAATATATTACTATTATACTAGGACTATTTTATTATTATATTAAAAATACCCCTTAATTTTTTTTATTTTTATAATTAAAAATTTTATTACTAGTATTAAGCTAAAAGCTTAATAAAACCTTTTTTTACTAAGTAAAAAGTTATTTACTACTAAGTATAAAGTATATACTAAGTTATTAATTATATTACTAATAAGTAACCCTACATGTAATAATAAACTAATTTTTAAAAATTAACTAGTATTAAATTTAGCTTTACCTTTTTTATTAAGTATAAACTTTTTTTATTACCTTTTTATAATTTGGTAAAATATAACCGTGGTAAAAATAATAAAGTACCTTTAAATTTAAAACTTTTAAAATTCTAAACCTGGGGTGCCCTAAAAACCCTTAAAATTTACTTTTTTTTATTATATACTACTAATTTTAAAGGCTTTATAAGTATAATATTATAGCTTTATATTATTTAATAACTAGCTAATTTAAAAACTAAGGTTATATTATAATGTTATTATAATTATTATAAAGGTAAAATTAGTTAATAAATATAGTAGTAAAATTAATACATAGTAGTAAAATATATAAGCTCCTGCTAATATTACCACTAATAGGTATATTTTACTTAAAATAATAATTAACTAATATTTTTAATAGTTATACCTCCTGTATATTAAGTAATTTATTAATATTTTAGTTAGTATTTTTTATGTATTTACCCTTTTATTAATATTATTAATAATAACCTTATGTATCCTAGAACAAACCCTATATATTAAAAATAAGGATTTTTAGTATTTTAATATTTTTAATACTTTAAATATTTTTTATATTTTATAAAAAACTATATATTTTAAAAAAATCTTATTATATTATCTTGCGCTTGGATATTTTAACTACCTAGTATATATTATTAAGGCTAATATATATATAGCTATTAATACGCCTTATTATATATTTAGGTTTAATATACCTTAAATTATTAATTCTTATTAATACTTAATATATTTTAATATAACCCTTAAAGGTGTCTTACCTTTAATAATATTTTTTATATATATAATATATATTTTTATAATTTATTTTATTATTTAACATGTCTTTTTTTTAATATATTTTAATGCTTAATATGCCTTAATTTTTTACTATATATTAATTTTTTTTAGTATGCCTTATGGTTTTAATACGCCTTTTTATTATTAATTAAATTTATATATTTTATAAAGTATTAATTTTATGCCGGGAACTTACCTACCACATGGTACTTAAGTTATTAATATATTACTAGCGTAATATATAATTATATTTTTTTTATATTAAAATCCTAAAATATCTTACTTTAAGCCCTAACCTAATTAATTAAACTAACTTTATGGCCCATTACTAGTCCACTGTTTACTACATTAACATGTAAATTAAGGCTAAAAAATTTAGGATATATTTAATACTAAATTATTAAATAGTTTTATTTAACTAAATTTTAAAATATTTTATTTTAAGCCTTAATTTAACTAAATTAACTTTATACTGGTTTACTATATTAAAATATAAATTAAGAATTCTAAATTTAAGATATACTTGCTATACTAAATTATTAATTAATTTTATTTAACTAAAATATTTTATTTTAAGCCCTAAATAACTATAATTAAGTAACTAAATTCCTAAGCCAAGTAACTATATTCCTAAGTAACTATATTTTTAAGTAACTATATTTTTAAGTAATTATACTTTTAAATAACTACACTTTTAAATAATTACACTTTTAAATAACTATACTTTTAAATAACTATATTTTTAAGTAACTATATTCCTAAGTAACTATACTTTTAAATAACTATACTTTTAAATAACTACACTTTTAAATAACTATATTTTTAAGTAACTATATT